GGAGGAGGAGGAGGAGGAGGAGGAGGAGGAGGAGGAGGAGGAGGAGGAGGGCGCGCTCGGCGGAGGCCGCCCGCCTGGCCGGGCAGGGGCGCTCGGCGCGGCGCGGGCACGGCGCCGCTGCCGGGCACGAGCGATAGCCCCGCTCTCTCCGCGGGCCCTGCAGCGTGGCCGTCGGAGCCGCCGTGCCGCTGGCGTGGCCACGGCGCCGGGGCTCCGGGCCTCCCACCCAGACCCCCTCGAGTCATGAAAAAATCACGACGGGAGGTTTTTCATGATTTTTGGCCTCTGGGGGCCCTTACCGGCCCTCGGGAGCGCCAAAAAACGACTCAGGATGAACAGCCGGTCATGGGGAAAGGGTCGGGACCTTTGGGGGTCGCGTCATGAAAAAATCATGACGTCGGGGGTCTGGGGCAGGCGGGGCCCGAGCAGAGGTCCCCGGAGGTCCGGGCGTCTCGGTGCCTTCGAGCCCGGCGTGCTCGCCCGGCTTCGGGCCCGGGGGCCCTCACGGGTCGATGCAGGTGGAGCCATTCTGGAGAGAGGGAGATGGGGTCTATAGGGTTCCTGCCATGGCGTTTCGCGATGTCGCATATCTGTTCAGGAGGAGGAGGAAGAGAGGAGGAGGAAGAGGAGGAGGAGGAGGAGGAGGAGGCCCGCGCTCGCCCGAAGGCGCCCTCGGGCGCCCCGAGGTCCACGAGGGGGGACGGTCCGCGGGCGGCGCCTCGGCCCGAGGCGCGCGGCGGCGGCCCGCGGCCATCCGCCGCGGATCCCCGGGGGAGGCGGGCGCTGTGCCGTCGCAAAGCCTGCTCACGCCGGAGATCTCTCCTACTGACCGCCTTCTTGTCTGGGCCAGGTCACGCACACAATTGCTCCTGGTCTGGATGTTGCGCTGGGGAGAGCAGATCAGGGTCAGAGGAGGGCGAGTTGAGACAACCGTGACTGGCCTTCGGGGGGGGCCTCGTCGCCACGTCTGCCGGGACTGCTTTTGAGCTGCCGCTGCCTCGATGCGCCCTGCTCCGAAGAGTTGGGGCTCGGCCAGAGCGTCGGATCCTGCAGGATCCCGCAAGGCCATACAGTGGAGACCCATGCCAAGAAACACCCCGCTTGCCTCCAGGGTGCCCTGGGTTTCTTGGGTCTCGATGGTTTTGCGATGGAACGCGTGACGTTCCCACACCAAAAATCAAAGGACGTCCTGGGGTCTCAGCGTTGGGTGTATTGTGGAAGGTTTCTTGTGGTCGGGCCCCCCATTGTATTCTGGTTGAGCCGGGTTTTTGGGAGCCGCAAACAAGTTGTTGCAGCGCAGTTCTTTTCTAAGTCGGCGGCGCAGGGTTTACGCCGAGCCGGGTTACAGTGGGGGGCGCGCATCAAGAAATCAGATGTTTTTCGTCGGGGCATCCTGGGTTGTCTCGCTCCGCGAGCTGCGCGGCGACTTTCCGCAGCCGCTGCAGAGGCTGCCCCGCCCAGGGTGCTCTGGGTTTTGCTCTCAGGTTCGGGTCGGGCGAAAGGGGGGGATTGGGAAAGGGGGGGTTACGAAATCGCTGCATGCAGCTGGTTTCGGAGGGGCCCATTCCTCGATACATGGGCGCCTCCGGCGCCGGGAGGCGCCGGGAAAATCAGCTACGCGAGCTGATTCTCAAACCCCCCCTTTGCTATCCCCCCCTTTCGCCCGACCCGAGTTTTGCTCTCAGGTGCACCTCGCGCGCGGGTTTTCAGGGCTGGGTTTCTTGCGAGGGCTTCCTGCGGCCGCGCCCGCACTGTAGCCCGTGCCCGAGCATTGGTGCTTCGGTGTTTTTCTCCGTTCCTGGGGTCGCTCCTCCTGCCGCTAGCATTTGAGTCGGGCCTGTCCCTCCACAGGGGGGAACAATGCAAAAATATCAAAAAAATGCGAGGGGACGATTTGTTTGACTATGCTTAAGCATTTTCGAGCATGTTTCTGACATTTTTTATTCTTCGTCCAAGATCCGCCTGCAGGGGGACACGCCCGACCGAACGCTAGCAGTCACGGACCGAGGGTGGGTGCCACCCGGCCGCTTCTCCTTCCTTCCGTGGGGGGCCGGGGGGCGCCTGCTGAGCCCGAGGGTTACTGCGACGCCCGCACATGCTTACATGTGAGGTGACTCGTGGATTGATTCAGCCACGCGCAGAGGGGGACGGGGGGAGGCTTCTTGGAAGCGCCCCTGCGTCTTGGAAGGCGCGGGCCTTGTCTGTAGATATATAGGGCCGGCGCCCTCCAAAAAGCAGCCTCCTTCTGAGAAGCCTTCCCCCCTCCCCCTACGGTGGTGGATCCTTGGAGGATTGCAGACTCTGGAGGATTCCTTATCTGACGATGGCCGCGATGACACCCATGGCCAATCCACGATTGGAGTTCCACTGGCGTCCAGACTCTGGATTCCTTAACCAATGGTTACTTCTATAAAGCCCTCACCGTCCCCCCTTGTGCGCGCCGCCGTTCACGTCCCACGGCGGTTCCATTTCCATGTCGTGTAGTACTCGGGCCGCTCGGGGCACACGCGAGAACGAGGAAGGGAGGTCGTTGGATGCGCGTTCGTCAGATGCTCATTGCTCAGTCGTTGCTCCTCCCTCCGGCGCCTCCATCTTGTGGATCTCTCTCTTGCGGCTCCTCATCTTTCTCCTCGCGTTTCTCGTTCATCTCGTCCTCTTCCGCCACCTGCTCCTCCTGCTCAGTCTGTACCTCTGGCCCCTCGCCGGTCCTCTGTCGTGTCGTCGCCGTCCCAACCGCCGCCGCTGTGCTGCCTGTATACTCCCCGTCGTGCCCCTTCGTGGATTCGCGCGGGGCCAACTTAGAATCCTGGAATCCTATTTCGGCGGCGAGCCGGGGGGGGAAGTGAGAAGGGGCGAGCCTTCTCAGAAGGCTCGGAAGTCCCCCCGCCTTCCAAGCTTCTCAGAAGGCTTCTGAGAAGTGTTCCAAGCCTTCCCCGAAGACTCGGACAACTTCTCAGAAGGCTGGAGGGCTTTCTGAGAACTCCGCCGCATTCTGAGAAAGCCTTCTCCTGATCATTCCATTCCCCTCGCTCGCCGCCGACTATTGCACACATGTGCTCAACCCCTCCAGATATGTCAGACATCGTTTGGGTTTAGGTCTTTCCTGCACTTCCCCATGCACGACTTAGAGCACACTCCCAAAGCAACAGCACATCTAACGCAAGTGCCCTCGTCCCTCTCCCCCCTCTCCTCACCCGTCCCCCCTTACCTCGTCTTCTATCCCTCCATCCTCTGTACCACCTTCTCCCTCCTGCTCTTCCTCATCTTCCTTCTCCTGCTACAGACCCCTTCGTCCGCTCGTTTTCGATCCTCCTCCCCCGTCTTCCCTCCTCCTTCGTCTTCATCCTGCTGTGAGGAGGGGGCAGCGGGGGGACGGGGGAGAGGGAGATTTGGAGATGGGCAGGGCAGGGAGGAACAGGGCGAGGGGGGAGGCGGGAAACGAGGAGACGGAGGAGAGGAGGGGGGTGGCAGGAAGGGGAGGCGGAAGGGGGAGCGACTGCGAGACGGGCAGGGTGGATGAGCGGCCCTCCTGCCACCTTGCTCCTCCTCCTCCTCCTCCTTCTCCTGCTCCTCCTCCTCCTCATCCTCCTCCTCCTCCTCCTGCTCCTCTTCCTCCTTCTCCTCCTCCTCTTTTCTCCTTCTCCTCCTCCTCCTCCTCCTCTTCCTCTTCCCTCCTCCCTTCTCCCTCCTCCTCATCATCATCCTCCTCCTTGTCCTGCTCCTCCTCCCTCCTCCCTCCTCCCTCCTCGTGCCAGCCCCCGCCCGCTCGGTGCCGCTGCCGCGCGGGACCTGCTGCTCTGGTCGCCTCTTCTTTTCCACTCCCCCTTCGGCCTATTGGCGAAAAACGGAGGAGGAGGAGGAGAAAGGGGAGAGGGAGGAGAGGAGGAGGAGGAGGAGGAGGAGGAGGAGGAGGAGGAGGAGGAGGAGGAGGAGGAGGAGGAGAAAGAAGAGGAGGCGGAGGAGGAGGAGGAGGAGGAGGGAGGATAACAGGGAGGGAGGAGGATGAGGAAGAGGAGGAGGAGGAGGAGGAGGAGGAGAGGAGAAGGGAGAAGGAGGAGAAAGAGGAGGAGGAGGAAGAGGAGGAGGAGGAGGAGGACGGGAGAGAGAAAGGAGGATAATGAGAGGAAGGAGTAGAAGTAGGAGGAGGAGGAGGAGAAGTAGGAGGAGTAAGAGGAGGAGGAGACGGCGGGGAGAAGGGAAGAGGGAGAAGGGGGAGGAGGAGGAGAAGGAGGAGGAGGGAGGAGGAGGAGGTGGAGCAGGAGGAGGAGCAGGAGGAGAGGAGCAGGAGGACGAGCAGGAGGAGGAGGAGGAGGAAGGAGTAGGAGGAGTAGACGGAGGAGGAGAAGCAGGAGGAGGAGGAGCAGGAGGAGGAGCAGGAGGAGGAAGAGGCGCAGGCAGAGAAGGAGCCGGAGGAGGAGGAAGAGGAGGAGAGGGAGGAGGTGGGAGGAGAAATGAGGAGGAGGGAGGCGGAGGCAGCAGACGATGGCTGTGTCGTGTAGACGTGTTCTCCATGCTCTCTCTCTCTCTCTCTCGCAGGCCGTTGGGGGCCCACTTGGAGGGGCATGCTCAGGTCTCTTCGGTCTAGTGGATCGAACTAGAACGGACCCAGGGCCAATGCGGCGTCTGCGCCGCTCCTTGGCCTCAGCTCGATTCTGACTGATGCGATCGAGCTGGGTCGGCGTGAGAATTGGGAGGGGGCGGAGGAGGGAGGAGGATGAGGAGGATGAGGAGTAGGAGAAGGATGATGAGGATGAGGAGGAGGATGAGGAGGAGAATGATGATGCTGATGATGAGGATGAGGATGAGGATGAGGATGAGGAGGATGATGATGATGATGATGATGATGTTGATGGTAATGGTGATGGTGACCATGCTGTTGATAATGATGACCATGATGTTGATGCTGATGCTGATGGTACTGCTGATGGTGTTCATACTGATCATTCTGATGATGACATGATGGTGATGATGCTTATGCGGATGCTGATGGTGACGAGGACAATGATGCTGATGATGATGCTAATGCTGCTGGTGGTGATGGTGACGACGATGCTAATGGCGATGTTGATGATTATGATGGCGACGGTGATGATGATGCTGATGAGGATGATGATACTGATTATGATGGTGATGCTGCTGCTGATGATGATGATGGTGATGGTGATGATAATGATGCTGATGGTGATGCTGATGTTGAGGATGATGCTGATGCTGCCCATGCTGATGATGTTTATATGGTGATAATGAGGGTGCTGATGAGGATGAGGACGGGGATGCTGATGATTTGAATGATGAGGGTGAGGATGATGATGGTGATGATTATGATGAGTATACTGACGATGCTGCTGATGATGATGATGTTCATGATGATGCTGATGCTGCTGCTGCTGCTGCTGATGATCATGATGACGATGATGATGATGATGATGATGCTAATGATGATGACGATGATGACGATGCTTATGCTGATGATGATTATGCTGCTGATGATGATGATGATGATGATGATGATGATGATGATGATGGTGATGGTGATGGTGATGGTGATGGTGATGGTGATGGTGATGATGATGATGCTGATGCTGATGCTGATGCTGATGCTGATGCTGATGATGATATTGATGACGAGGAGGAGAAGAAGGAGGAGGAGGGAGAGGAGGAGGAGGAGGGAGGATGGAGGGTCCAGGCCTCCCACATAGGTCCCGAGTCGATCGTGTCAGAGGATCGCGTCGCATTCGCCGTTGTCTTGCCGATGCATCGGCGATGTGGTTCGATATGGAGCTCGATTCCTCACGACGTTGCCGCCGATGCACAGTCGACCGATGTAGC